AAAAAAAAAAAAAAAAAAAAAAAAAAAAAGATCCCCTTACCAGTCATCTTTAAAAAAAAAAAAAAAAAACAAGAAATTAGTTTACTTTAAAAACCTGGACCCAGAGCTACAAGATGGAGTCATTAAAAACACTAGGTTTCTTGCTTTTCAAGTATATAACAATAAGGAAATATTTTGCAAAGACAAATTCACAGTTATACTTTGCTACTAAAATTATCTCCAGATTTGAACAAAGATGAGAAAGAAATATTAAAAAAATAAAAATCTCTGCATTATAAAGCAATTTAAGAATTGATATTATGTAAAACATTAACAAGATCGCAGCTGCACAATCTGGAACTAAGCACCACTTAGCAATACTTAGAAGGTGCTGATTCTAAAAGCCACAGTGGCCCTTTAAGAGAGATCGGTTTATCAGTAAAAATACCCATGACCCATGCAAAGCAGCATATATGCTCCTTCCTTATATAAGATTAAACTTTAAAATTTGTACTTGAATTTGTGTGTTTGTTCCAAGATTTATTTACATCTCAGATGTAGTGATGGTATGAAACAGAAATATCTTGGCAGACAGGAGAAAAAGCAATTGGGTTTAACTACAGATAAAACATGTGAAAAGCAAATAAGAAGCTCAGATAAGAAATTCTGTGCAAAATAACACATTTAAAAATATTTCCTAAACCTATTGTTCCATCTTCCGAAAACAGCCTGAACCAATTATACTTGTCAAAAAAATAATGCTGATAAAATAGAGGAAGAATTAGATAAAATGTCATCTAAACAAAATTGAACCTTAATTCAGAACAGAAGCATCCACAGGCAGCTTTCTTCACTACTTATCTACTCCTAAATAATAAAAAGAGATGACTTTTATCAAGCATTACATTCAGGGCTCTTGTTAACTGCTTTATATGCATTATTTAATTTTTCCAGGTAAGAAAAATAGGTATTTTTTCACTAAACCAATATTTGGTTTAGAAAACAGTGCAAAACATTTCAAATTTTTAAAGTATTTGGTAAAGTGGTTCCCAAATAACAAATAGTAGAAACTTTCCAAAGACTGTGAAGCAGACATTTTTAACCAACAGCATGTGCAGAATTACTAGTGGTACCTTAAAAAGCCTATTAACTGTTTGGGCCCCAATTGGGTAATTTTTAAATTACCAGTTTTAAAAAAAAAAAAAACTATAAAAGTCGTCCATGGTGATGGCAAAAAATAATTCGAACAGTACTAGAGAAGATATAAAATTAAAAGCATAAGTCCTCCTGATCCAACTCCCCAGAAGTAATCACTACGAATACAATCTGCATAATAGATTCCTACAAGTCAAACTACTCAATCAAGGGGATGTATACTTAACATTTTATAGGTATTGCAAAACTGCCCTTCGAATACTTTACACCAATTTAAACACCCATCCATAGCAGATTTAATTTTTTAAAAACTTCCTGGTAATTATCTGCTGATTCAAGTGTTTATTCCAGTAAGTACCCAAGGGCTGGAATGATCTGCTATCTTGCCCACTTGTAGCTGACTTTTCTGTCAGAGGGATTTTTTAAAAGTCTTCATACTCTAAAATTTCTTTTAGTAACAATGACTTCCACTTGCAGACTCTGCTAGGAGGGAATACAACTATCATCTCGGAAGTAGGAACCTACTGATAACAAGAATTAATATGAGCATATGAAACACTATCAAATTGTAATCTACATCTATCAGTAAAGGGATTTGTGGGGGTTGAGTAAGATTTGAGTCTCTGAAAACAAATTTAAAAGTTTTTTTTTTTTTTTTTTTTTTTACTTTGAATATCTTTGGGTGGGAATAAAACTTTAAAGATTTTATAATATATTCCTCCAAGATAATAATCGGATGAGAAATCTGAATCAAAGGATCAGGCTATGCCATGGATCCAGTACCATGATCAAAACATCAGCTACAGGGCCAGCCCGGTGGCACACTGGAGAGTGCGCCACTTAGGAGCGCGGCAGCGCTCCCGCAGAGGGTTCGGATCCCATGTGGAGACCGGTTCCCGCTCACTGGCTGAGCGTGGTGTGGGCGCAACACCGAGGGTTGCTATCCTGTTACCAGTCAGTAAAAAAGACAAAAAGAAAAAAAAAACCATCAGCTATATAAACACTGAAGTGTTTTTACATATTCAGGATTAGTTGGGGAAAGGGGTAGATTTTAGAGCCAGACAAGACACAAGAGATTAATATTAGCTTCCTTATTTTGTAGTGAATATGTAAAAATTTTAGAAATCAAAATAGGTATAATTCTGCTTTTATTTCAGTATTTTCCTTTTATTACACAAATACAAAATTCCTTGAAGTATATATTGATATATAAATATATTTGAAGGGCCAATTGGAGTATGTATCAAAAGTCTTTAGAATGCGCATGCCCTCTAACCTAGTAATTCTCTGAAAGTTCATTCTAAAGATACGAATCATACATTCAAATTAATTCAAGCAATATTTATTAAGCATATCTTATGAGCAACTAGATACTGTTTTGGTGTTGGAAAAACAACAGTGAACAAAACATGTCCTCACTGTCATGGAGCTTACATTGTGGTGGGAGAGAAAAACAGGAAACAAATAAATACATAAAAATCTCAGGTGGTGATAAATACTATTTTAAAAAAAAAAAGCAGGATGGGCCAGCCCCGTGGCGCACTGCTACAGTGTGCCGCTTGGGAAGCGTGGCAGGGGCTCCCGCCGAGGGTTCGGATCCCACATACAGACCGGTTCCCCCGCACTGGCTGAGCGAGGCGTGGGAGCAACACCGAGGGTTGCCATCCCCTTCCCGGACCGTCT